TAGGGTGCCCTCACCCCCCGAGCCCCAGCGCCAGGTCTTATGTCTTCGCCGTTGCGGTACCAGGTGCCGGGGATCCTAAACCCTAAACCCTAAACCCTAACCCCCAAACCCCAAACCCTAAACCCTAAACCCTAAACCCTAAACCCCAAGCGCTTTGAGGGGTATACGGAGGGACTACTAGAAGGGGCTCTTAACCTTATTCCCCTACATAACCACCTTGTATATTCCCTACGTACCTAGGTAGCCCCTAAATAAACCCTAAATAACCCCTAAGGTCCCTTGTAAGGGTCCCTCCTTCATTCCCTTGAACCCGAAACCCGAAACCCGAAGCCCTACGTAAGGGTTAGGTAGCGGAGATCAGGGCTTCGGGTGGTTGGAGGTGGGTTTAGGGTTTAGGGTTTAGGGTTTAGGGTTAAGGGTTTCAGGAGGCGATGGCCCGAAAATCCGTAGGGCTGAGGGTCTAGGGGTCCGGGGTCGGGGTCTGAGGGCTTCGGGTTTAGGGTTTACGGTTTAGGGTTTAGGGTTTAGGGTTTGGGGTTTAGGGTTTAGGGTTTAATTAGGGCTCAACCACGACCTCATCAAGCCTGCATCGGAGACGAGGCACCGACACCCTGCTCTGCAACTGCGGCGCTCTTAGCCAGCATGGCTGCTTGATTTGCCAATTGCGCGTCTTTCTTCGCTGTAGCTCAGAAGTGATAGCTTTGCCTCGGCGTCGTATGGCTTGCCGTCGGCCTCCTGCAAGACGCCGACGAGCTGAGCCTCCATTTTCCTCGGCCTCTTGGTGCTGTTAGGGTTTTCAGGGTCTGGGTTTTCAGGGTTCAGGTTTCGGGGTTCAGGGTTCAGGGTTTAGGCTTTAGGGTTTAGGGTTTAGGGGTTTAGGGGTTTAGGGGTTTAGGGGTTTAGGGGTTCAGGGGTTCAGGGGTTCAGGGGTGTAGGGTTTAGGGTTTAGGGTTTAGGGTTTAGGGTTTAGGGTTTAGGGTTTAAGGTTTAGGGTTTAGGGTTTAGGGTTTAGGGTCTAGAGGTTAGGTCGCCAAAGCACCTCCCCGACTCGGAGAGAAGTCTGCCGCCCAGGGAACCCTGAAGTTCTCAAATCCTAAAACCCTAAACCCTAAACCCTAAACCCTAAACCCTAAACCCTAAACCCTAAACCCTAAACCCTAAACCCTAAACCCTCTCCCCACTCCCCACTGTGATGTAGGAACTACGAGCAACACTCCTTAATTAAATAAGGCTTCCTTAAGTAACTAGGGCTTCCTGAATGAAATAAGGATTCCTGAGTTAAGTAAGGCGGGACATGGGGCTATCTTTGTAGCAGCCGCAACCGTACGGCCATGGCTCTACGACCCAAAACATAAAGGTTTAGGGTTTAGGGTTTTGGGTTTAGGATTTCGGGTTTCGGGTCTAGAACCCCGAACCCCAGACCCCAGATCCCCAAAGAACCCAAACCCAGAACCCCAAACCCTAAACCCAAAGAAGCCTATGCATGGAGGTGGTTGAAATACAAAGGTGGCCCCTCAACCCTTAAATCTCAACCCGGAGTCCTGATCTCAGTCCAGAGCCCAAACGCAAGCAAGCCGCGTGGGCAAACTAACAAACCAAGGGATTAGGCTGTAGGGCTTAAGGTTTGTAAACCCCCTACTACACCAAAAACTCCCTAAACCCTAAACCCTGAGCCCCCTAAGCCCCCTAAGCCCCCTACGCCCCCTAAGCTCCCTAAACTCCCTAAACTCCCTAAACCCCTAAACTCCCTAAACTCCCGAAACTCCCTAAACTCCCTAAACTCCCTAAACTCCCTAAACTCCCTAAACTCCCTAAACCCAACCCCCTAAACCCTAAACCCTAAACCCTAAACCCTAAACCCGCCCGCCGCCCCACTCGCTGGCCTCCAGGCTGGCTTACCCTCCAGGCAGGCACAGGCCGAGTCAGCAGTTGTCACGGTATTACAAGGCGGGAAAGCAGCTTGTCTCAAGAGTCTCTGCTCCCAGCTGAAGCACAGCTTTGGGAACCCCGAACAAGCATAAAGTTGCAACGCGCCCTTCAATGGAGATCAAAAGAATAACGTGTATCAATGTTCGGACCTCCCCATAAAAAAAAAACGCAGCTGATTTCCTTGGGCAGTTGGCGACTTTTCAGAAACCTCTGCGTGCTCTGACTGCCTAATCCCCGCCGCCCACCCGCAAGCCCTCCTGAGATGAAAAGGTACGCCTGGCAACGAGTAGGACTGCAATTGACGCGGTAGGGCGATGTTGTTGGGAGAATAAAAACGGCCCCGCGCGTCCGTCGACCGCGCCACCTTAAATTCAAAAAAGTATCGTGCATCAATCTTTGGACTCCAAAACCCGCCTCCCCCCCACAACAAAAGCCGATTTTCCTTGTCCGTTCTTGTCAGACGTCTTTGCATCTGCGGCTCTGTCCTGAGATGAAAATGCACGCCTGGCGACGCGTTCGAGCGCAAATGACACGGTAGGGCAATTTTCGGACGCACACAGCACAACCCCTGCCCAAAAATGACACCGCACTCCTACCCTTCCTCAAGCAGTTTAGGCTCTATATAAATATAATATAATATAGTATAATATAATATAATATCATATCATATCATATAAGCTAATATAATATAATATAATATAATATAATATAATATAATATAATATAATATAATATAATATAATATAATATAATATAATATAATGTATTTATTTATTTAGATTTATATGTATACCGAAATATCCTAAACTCTTCCGCAAGCAGTTTAGCCTCAATAATCATCCTGACCTTCCTCAAGCAGTTTGGCTCAATAATCAGCCTAAACCCTTCCTCAAGTTTAGGCTCAATAATCATCCTACGAGCTTTCTAGGCTTGGTAATCTTCCTGATTTGAGAACTGATAATGTAAAGGAAAAAACCAGGCAAGCACTCATGAGAACGGTGCTCAGAGTCTCAGTGTTTGCTTTCTGCGTTTCGCAACAGCTCAGAAGCTGGTCGCATCTCAACACCTTCAGAGACTCCAAAACCCCTTAATTAAGGAATCCCCATTCTTTTATTAAGAGGTTTTGGAGTCTCTGGGCAAGAATTGGCTCTGCAAGTTCGCAACAATCACAAGCTTGCTTTCTCTCAACAGAATGCTGCTGCAGCTGCAAACTTCTGGGCGGAGGCTCGAGCTTATCTTGCACAGCACTGCTGCGACCTTGCACCAGGAACAGCCGGCTACACTGCGCCAGGCGGGACACAGGCATTCAAGCTGAGCGCGCGGCAAAACCTAGAGGCCAGGGCTGGGACATTCATTGAGGGTGTCGCTCGAGCTGATCTTGCACAGCACTGCTGCGACCTTGCACCAGGAACCCAGACAGCCGGCTACACTGCACCAGGCGGGACACAGGCGTTCAAGCTGAGCGCGCGGCAAAACCTAGAGGCCACGGCTGGGACATTCATTGAGGGTGTCGCTTTTGGGGTTTTTTAGGCATGCTCAATAAAGAACCGAACTGCCAAGTCGTGGAGCACCAGGGGCACTCTTAACCAGCCAAATGCACTGCATCAACAAGGAAATCGAGTCAAGACTGACTCGTGTCTGGGGTATCGCTTTCCGACAAATTTGCAAATGTTCCGCCCAAGAGGCGCGGGATTTAGCCAGTCGCTCAGATCTTGCACACTGCTGCCGACCTTGCTTGAGCCTTTTGGGCACTCAAAACAACACGTCGAGTCAAAACTGTGCACTGTGCATCCTCTGTGTTCTGTTCAAACCAGTCGCTCTAATGGCTTGCACATGAAAAACCCCTAAACGTGAGAGATGCCTTGGAGCAAAAATGACAGCATGTTCCCAGCACAAAGATGACACGAAGCATAGCCTCTTGCGAAGGATGACACACTCATTGCGTTAATGAGAAGCAAACAGAGTCACGCCTCAAGGTTCTGCCAGGACGCGATACTTTTTTTGACGTTGAGAGAGACCAAACTCCCTGACGTTACTTCGAGCGGGTCTTGGCTTCCGGCGTTACCCAAAAACCCCGAGTTGCAGTCTGAAACCTTGTAGCACACAATACAGACCGAACACTTTGCGGTTTCTCTCGCGCTCGATAGAGCCATACCGATCCGAGACCTTGCGGTCCCTTACCGAGCGACGCAGACCTTACAGTTCCACTTGGAGCGACACAAACCTGAGACCTTGCGGTACGCTGGACACCGAACGGCTTGCAAGGTGGGATGTCTTGCTTGCAGCTTGCTGTTGGGGCGAGACAGACCCGAGATCTTGCGGTTTCTTTTGGGCCAACGCAGACCGGAGACTTTGAGACGGTGTTGGACCGACGCAGTTGGGGGTCAAGCCACAACCTTGGCATCGAGACTGCCGAGCTTGCCATGCAGCCAATCAGCTCAAATCGAATCCGAAGCCAAAGCGGTCTTCTTCTTCTTCTGCGGCATCTACAGCTGGAAGGGGCGCTGGCGCCGCTGGTTGCGGCCGCCGCACATCTTCCTTGATGTCCACCCACTCGACGTGACGCTTGATGGCTTTGACCTGTTCTTCCATCCGGGCCTCTGTCGGAAAGAAGTCAGCACTACGATAGTTTGTCGTGAAAATCCTTCTTGTGTGTGTGTGTGTCGGAATGAGCGCATCATCGTTCCTGCAATGCGTGAACCGAGGTTTTTTAACATCCAGCCAACTTTTGACATCGTCAACTTCGAGCTTGGAGAAGTTCACATCGTCAATCACCAGTCCTTCACCCTCCCGGAAATGAATCTTCTTGGCAGCATCCAACTTGTCCAAGAAAAAGAACGGTCCAGTCAGCTCGCACATTATCGCACAGGCCAGCTCCGCCTTGCCAAGTCCACCTTCGCCACGCAAGATCAAAACTTTATCCTCACTGCTAGACTCCATCCAACGCTGGACGCCTGTGGGAATATGGAACGCAGAGAGCGGGTACTGCACTGTCTTTTGGAGCATGCCCTGAGGCATGGACTCGTGATGCCAACCTCTCAAAGCTTTTCGACGCAAGCCACATCCTTGTTTTACAAGTAGTTCCACATCATGTCTTCTCCACTTGTTTTCAACCGTTTGGCCAATCGCCAAACATCACCCTCATCAACGCAGCCGTTTTCAACAACATAGTCCGACTCGGAAAAGGACAAAGTTCGCCTGCGTTTGGACTCGCCTGTTTTTTTCTGCGAGGATTTGATCTGCTGCTGGACGTCAGCACTGTTGCGACGCAACATTCTAGCCTCGACCTGCTTGATGACCTCCAAGGCTTTCTCTTTGGTAAAGCTTGGGGGCCAGAACATGGGACAAGGATCGAGATCCTTCTGCAACTTCTTGGCTAAGGGCAGGAGGACATAGGCAAGATAGGATGCCCATCCTGCGCGTGGAAAGGTGAAGAAACCTTTGCATCCTTCAGCTCCAAGATCTGCGCACATCTTGGCGCGCGCAAAGGGAGATGCCATCTTCATGTGGTAGTGAACCTCCCTCTGTTCGGCTCCTGGAGCCCATTTGTTGTGAGGTTCCTGCGCGATCACCATGGCTTTGAAGCCCTGAAGGAGATGCCGCTTCTGCAGAACTCCACGGAACTTGCTGCCCAAGTCTTCCTTGGTCCAGTCTGCTGGCTTCAAAATGCCTAACTTCTCCCGGTCTGCTAACGTCTTGCCGCGTGTGCCTCAGTGACACAAGTCGCTTGTATACGTTTGTAAGCCGACCACCACAACAGAACAACAAAAGCAAGACCGCGGCAGAGCGGCCAGGACATGGCCACGTGAACATGGCACAGGCTCCTCGCGCTGCGGCCGCAGCTGGGCGTTTGCCAGACTCACTGCCTGAGGAGCTGCCTTCTGCAACCACCATTTCGGGCGGCGCAACGGACGACGAGCTACTGTCGCTGTCGCTGCCGCTGTCCTGGCAAGGCAGAAGATTTCCAACTTTACGACGCTGCTCCCTTAGAAAGGGGCCAAATAATCAAATCCCACGCGCCGAAGTGGCGTACTTTACGATGCAATTCCCCTTGAGAAGGGGGCCACGTCGTAAAGTCCCACGTGCAGAAAACGGCTTACTGTACGATGCAATTCCCCTTAGAAGGCGGCAAACAGTAAAGTCCAAAGCGCTCGGAAAAGAAAGTACTTAGACTATCTTGTCTAAATGCACGTTTGAGTTTACGACTGCGTCCCTTCTAAGGGGAAGGACACCATAAAGTTGGAATTGGCGAGCATGGATTGCTTTATGAATCGCGTCCCTTCTAAGGGGAATTACACCATAAAGTTGACATGCGCGTGGAACTTCTGCTTTCTGAATCGCTGCTGTTCTTAGGGGGAAACAGACCATAAATTCGGCTGATTCTCACATCTCATCAATCACTTTGGCCCTCCTGACACGCACCACCCTCGCTCTCACACTTGTTCCAGGCTTCTCAGATCCACGTCTGCTGCTTCCACAAGCCTTCAGATCCGGGACCTGCTTGGTTGGGACCTGGGACCTCCAAGCTAGAGCGTGGGCCCCTTTCTGCTTCCCAGCCCCTCCTGGGGCCCTCCAGGCCTCTCTAAGAATTTGGAGGGCCTCTCCTTCTAAGAGGTTCTCCACTTAGCTTCAGTAAAAACCTTTCCTCAAGCGGTGTAGGCTCCATAATCATCCGACACCCTTCCTCAAGCAGTTTAGGCTCCGCAATCCTTTCTCAAGCGGTTTAGCCCACCAGCTTGAAGTTTTTGCGGCTCTTCACTGCTTATGGGCCCTTCTTGGCTCAATAATCACCCTAAACCTTCTTCCGCAAGCAGCTTAGGCTCCATAATCATCCTCAACCTTCCTCGGTTCCTTTCTGCTTCCCAGGGACCTCGAAGCCCCTGAAGTTTCAGGCTCTTCACAATAATCATTCGAAACCCTTCCTCAACCAGTTTAGGCTCCGTACTCATCCTTTCTCAAGATTTCTCAGCAGTTTAGCTCCATAATCATCCTAAACCCCAAGAGATGGGTTCCTTTCTACTCAGGCCTCCAAGCCCACTTCATGGGCCTTCCGGGCCACCAGCTTAGGATGTTGCAGGGCTCTCCTTCCTCAAGCCGTTTAGGCTCAATAATCACCTTAAATCCTTCTTCAAGCACCCTGCAGACTACCGCGCGCTCCCAAAGCGCGCTTCCGTTTGTAAACCCTAAACCCTAAACCCTACACCCTAAACCCTAAACCCTAAACCCTAAACCCTAAACCCTAAACCCTAAACCCTCGTGGGTTTGGGCTTTGCCGGGGAGCAGTGCAGCGCCCGCAGCAGCGGGCCAGCGAAAGGAGCTGGGCTCAGCAACTCCGGGACACCTTCAGCTCTTGGGGGCCTTCTAAGGGTTTCAATATGGGTTTAGGGTTTAGGGTTTAGGGTTTAGGGTTTGGGGTTTGGGGTTTGGGGTTTAGGGTTTATAGGTTTTAGGTTTTAGGGTTCGATTTTGGTTTTTGACTTTTGATGCCGGGTGATTTTGACAAAAGCCCTATGTTGGCGCTTTTGTTCGCAGCTGCGGTCGTGTGTGCTGGCCTGCAGCAATATTCCGCGTGCCTTCGAACAGTTTCAGTTCCTGTGCAGCTGGCTGCGTGTGCCGCGCATGCCTGCTCGAACCTGACAAGAAAACTCAAGGTTTAGGGTTTAGGGTTTAGGGTTTAGGGTTTAGGGTTTAGGGTTTAGGGTTTAGGGTTTAGGGTTTAGGGTTTAGGGTTTAGGGTTTAGGGTTTAGGGTTTAGGGTTTAGGGAGCTTAAGGACACTTTGGCTGGCTTTTGCTGGGGACCCTTGGGTCACTTGGGACACTTGAGTCGCTTAGGTCACTTTGGAACTTCCTTAAGACACCTAAACCCTACATACTAAACCCTAAACCCTAAACCCGAAACCCTAAACCCTAAACTTGGGTCGTAGGGAGCACTTGGTGGGGCACTTGGGTCACTTTGGGACACTGGAGCACCTGGGCCACCCAAGATTTGTGTCACATGGGTCGCTTACTTGGAGATTCGTGGTACTTATCAACCGATTATAGTAGGGTTTAGGGCTTAGGGTTTAGGGTTTAGGGTTTAGGGCTTAGGGCTTAGGGTTTAGGGTTTAAGGTTTAGGGTTTCGGGTTTAGGGTTTTGGGTTTAGGGGTACTTATTAACCATTATGACTGTACTGATATCCGACTTATATGCCCCTTAAGTGCCCTCTAAAATGGTTATAAGTACAGTTAAAAGTTATAAGTTATAAGTACAGTTTAAAATTGGATAATAAGTACCATGAACCTCCAAGTAGAGCACCTGGGACGCTTGGGTCTGGATCACTTGAAGCACTTGACACTTGGGGCACTGGGAATGAACACAAGGAACATGCACTCGGGTCACTTGTGGGGTACTTTGGCTCAATTGGGTCTCATGGCAAGCTTGGGGCGGTTACTTGGGACGGTTGTGTGGCTCAGGGGTTCAATTGACACCAAACGACAGGTGAGTGAGGCAGGGCCGGTTTAGGGAAATCAGAACCCCGCAAAAGTCTCAATCGTAAATCCCTAAACCCAAATTCCAAACACCCCACCACCCGATACAAGGTATAAACTTCCCAGGCTGTCTACTACCTATCGAACCCTGAACCCTAAACCCTGAGCCCTAATCCCTAGACCCTAAACCCTAAACCCCTAAACCAAGGAACACATACGACTTTGAAGGTGAAAGCCTAACCGGTTCTTGGCATGGAGCGCGAGAATGAGAAACCGAGCTACTATAGGGGCCTTAGAAATGAGACTAAAGGTTTGAAGGTGATTGTCGTAAAATTATATAGGGACCACAGGGGTATGGTATTACCAACCTTGATGGCCCAGTAACCATATACTAAGCATTTTTACAGTTGGTTACATTATGAGGGAACCCAGACGCAACAAAAAAGGCCAAAGGGTAGCACTGGGCTACCAAGACAGAGACGTGAACCTTCGACCCTCAACCCTACACCGCCAGCTGCGGCCGCTTCTTATACCACCAAACCCTAAACCCTAAACCCTAAACCCTAAACCCTAAACCCTAAAGCCTAAACCCTAAGCCCTAAACCCTAAACCCTAAACCCTAAATACAATGAGTGACTATTCCGATCCCTGTATTTTGGCCTGTTGAAGGGACTTTTAAAGTGCCCAGCGAGGCCTGCATCGGCGTCATGCTTCCTGCTTCGCATTTTTTTCGCTCTTGTGCTGAACCCTAAAACCCTAAACTCCAAAACCCTCAACCCAAACCCTCAAAACGCTTAATAAAAACCTGAAACCCCAAAACCCTAACCCTCAACCCTAAACCCTAACCCTCAACCCTCAACCCTCAAGCCTCAACCCTCAACCCTCAACCCTAAACCCTAAACCCTAAACCCCGAACCCCTAAGCCCTAAACCTTCCAGGAAGCCGGGTCCCTGGCTTTCGGGCGTCAGCTTCACTTCCGGACCTCTCGGCTCGCTGCGGAGCCACACAGGGGCGGTTTAGGGTCTAGGGTTTAGGGTTTAGGGTTTGGGGTTTAGGGTTTGGGGTTTAGGGTTTAGGGTTTAGGGGTTTAGGGTTTAGGGCGAAAGGGCTTACGAGTCCAGGGTTCGGCCCTTTTGGGCCCTCTAAACTGCCAGGAAGATGCTGTAAAAGAGGCACAGCAAGGCTACGTTTATGTCAGCAAGCCAAAGTTCAAAACGTTACAGGGTCTATCCGAAACCCTATCCCCTGAAGCCCTAAACCACCTCAACCCCCTCAATCCTAAACCCTAAACCCTAAACCCTAAACCGCCTCAATCAATCCTCAACCCTTAACGTGGCCCCAGCTGATGATTCCGTTCGGTTGACGCAGATGAGCCAAAAAAATAACCCGAAGGCCTTGGACACACAACAAAAGTTAACTTCATGAAAACGAAACCGTGAAGCCCTCAGGAACCAGAAACAAAAGTCTCTCAACTTAAGCCTTCGTTTGAAGCTTCTGAGGCATCCCCAGGGTCCTGCGCAGGGTTTAGGTTTAAGAGTTTTAAGTTTAGTTCAGAAGGTTTTGTTATTAAGACCTTTGGACGCTCTCAGCCCTTCAATCCCTATCAACACACACTAACAACTCAGCCTTAAACCCGAAAACCTGAACCCTAAAACGTGAACCCTGAACCCTGAACCCTGAACCCTGAACCCTGAACCCTGAACCCTGAACCCTGAACCCTGAACCCTGAACCCTAAACCCTAAACCCTAAACCCTAAACCCTAAACCCTAAACCCTAAACCCTAAACCCAAACCCTACATAAAACCCTAAGACCCTAGACCCAGAAGGCCGATTTCCAGGGCTCCCCGCGTTTGGCCGCGGCAGCAGGTCCCCGTGTCCTGGCCGCCCTAAGCCGTAAACCCCAAAAGCCCTAAGCCCCAAAACAAAAACCCTAAGCCCTAAACCCTAAACCCTGAAGACCCGAAACTTAAAAGCCAGAAAGACCCTAAAGACCCGAGACCCTACTGAGCCTACATACCCTAAACCCCAAAAACCCTCAACCCTAAACCCTAAAGACCCGAAACCTACAAGTCAGAAAACATCTTTAATACCCGAGACCCTACTGACCCTAAATACCCTAAACCCCCAAGACCCTCAACCCTGAACCCCAAAATCCTAAATACCCGAAACCAATACACCCAAGGACCCCCCAGTTTGGCGCTCAAAAGCCCTCTGAATACATTCCGAGATGAAATCCAATCCTATAAGTTCCCCAGCAGCCTAGGATTTCAGTAGCACCAGAAAGAAGACCACGCAGCATCTGCGTGCTTGAGCTTAAAGAGAGTGACCAGAACAGGTGGTTAGAAAGCACCTCTTCACGGTTGTCAAGAATCCGGACGCTTGGCGTTTCGGGTGTAGGGTTCAGGGTGGAGCTTCCTGGGTGTAGGACTCCCGTCGGGGTGTAAGATTGGTTCTGAAACCTATGCCCTAGTGAAACCCTAAACCCTACTCTTGTAGCAATGCTTGTCAGGTACACCACTCCCGATACTGCTCTCCGAGGTCCCAGCCCCACCGTCTTCTGCGTAACGCCCTTCGGAACACCTTTCGGGTTTAGGGTTTAGGGTTTGGGGTTTGGGGTTTAGGGTTTGGGGTTTGGGGGTTTAGGGCTTTCGGGGTGTTTAGGCTTAGGTTGAGAACACTAGTATATACACCCTCGACCCCCGACCTCCTAAACGACCCCCGACCTCCTAAAACTTCAGGGTTCGGAGGGTGCAGGGTTTAGGGCTTAGTGTATAGGGTCCCAGCTT